AATATATATATATATATATATATATATATCAGCCAATAGCCGATGGTGAAAGTATATTGGTTAAGATTGTTTTCAAAAGTACAAAAATAGAGTCAATTTTGATTTCATGTTGACTTTAAGTAGGCGCTTAATTACTGCCGTAGCTCCTCCTGAAGGCTGTTTGTGATTGTGTTAATGACATTAATGTTTAGTTTAGTAGCTTCAGAGAGTGATCTGAGCATGGCATTGACCTACCACAGGCAGTACAGATAAACACAGTCAAAATGACGAACAAGCACAAGCCCACAACATCAACAGCACCTACGACACAACATGCAAAACTATAGACAGAGGAACTGAGAGAGATTTGGAGCAATAAACAGATCTAGTTTTGGAGAGAGGATGAGCAGGCAACCTGAATGCCACACAGTTTCAGCAACAGCCTGGAAACATCAGCTGCAGGTGAGACAGCACAGCATTCAGTTCAAGGTTTAAGGCTTTCATGCAGGGCGGAGTCAAAATCCATGGTTGGGCGGGGTATAAGGAGGGGTTGAGTTTAACTGGTTAGGAGGACTGGTCACTTTGGCGTGAGTTTTTGATCAAGATAAGCTCCCGGAGTTAGCAATGATGAAGATGAGGCCATGTTTAAGAGCTGGAGATGCTGGATGAGGAAGAGGAGGTTGACTTGAATGATGTCAACAAAGGAGGCATAGTTGATCCTGCAAACACAACTCCATCTTTGGACCAGCCCGACAGATCAGCAGAGCGTGGACATCTGTAGGGCACTGTGAGAGGGGTGAAATCAGCCTGGAAGGGGTGGGACTAGCAGGTGTCCCCAAATAGAATACCCTCATTCAAGCCAGGGTCAGAGCGTGGACTGTAATACTCATGGGAAAAAAGGTGTTCAAGTTCTTTCAGTGTGTTTCTCGCCTCACCTCTCTCCATACACACATGAAGCATGACCCTACCTTGATCCAAAGGCCCAAAATGCTCTGCTGCTGGGGACGGAGGAGGTGAGGGTGGCAGGTTTGCAGAGTCCTCCACTGTAAACAAACAGAAGAAAAGAAGAAGAGATCAAGGCAATGTTCAAGATTAGATCAACACACCTACAGTTTGGGCGTCCCATTATGGGTCTTTTCCAAAAACCTAGTGAATAGCCTATGGAGGAAGAATGTTAAGGCATCATAGGAGGTTTGAAGTAAAGTTCTAAGGTTCTTCAAATTCTAAGACAATGTTGCATGTATCCTTAATGAAGACGGAATTCTCAGTGAAGAAAATCTATCCAAGATGGCAGACAAAGGAAGAGAAATATTGCTTATAACTAAACTAAACTAAACAATAATACTAAAAAGTACAGAAAAATGCTTTTATCTAATTAAAAACTTGATTTTCCCCCCAATATTTATGCGCAATGTATGAGCTTAGCAAAATACGGACAACAAATTCTATAAAAATTAATTGTCAAATCTAAAAATAGATTCATTAAGGAATAAAACTTACATTTTAAAATGCAATTAGCTTGTATTCCAAATATTCTTTTCCGATCTTTTTGCATATATACACTACCATTCAAAAGTTTGGGATCTGTCTTTTTTTATACTTTTATTCAATTAGGACACATTAAATTGCTCAAAAGTCACAGTAAAATATTTATAATATTGCAAAAGATTTCTATTTTAAATAAATGCTAAATGTTTCACAGTTTCAAAAGTATTAAAAGTATTAGGCAGCACAACTATTTTCTACATTGCTAATAATAAGAAATGTTTCTGGAGCACCAAATCAGCATATTAGAATGATCTGAGAAGGATCATGTGACACTGAAGACTGGAGCAATGGCTGATGACTTTTAAACTTTTAAAAGTGTATTGTACGTATAGTAAGCAAGACAACTCCCTAGGTTTTGGAAGAGAGCCAACAAATTTGAGGTTGTTTTTTTCTGACCTTTTAATGTTCACTATAGTAAAGAACAGACAGGTAATGATGATGAAAAGTAGAGAGAACAAGATCAGCAAATGCAAGCCAGCTCTGAAGTGACATTTTCTTAATCTTAAGCATGAAAAATGTATTGCCCACACAAGAAAAATAAACCCAGTGAAACCCAGTGGGCATGTTTTAACAAGGAAAAATAGATTCATGAACAGATAAAATTGTATCTTAAAATGCAATTATCTTGTATTAGCTTATAAAGGGACTCCAGGAGGCAAGCAGTTTAATAACAATAGATTTGAATGTAAACCCCACCCCCCCCCAACCACCCACCGACCCAAAGATATAAATGGGGTTGTGTGCATGTGAGAGTTATTTCTAAGGATATGCTGAGCAGAGAGGAGTCTGGGCTCAGGATTGGTATGCTGAAAGCTTTGCCGTCTCTAATCCTTTGAGCTCTTCTGACAGACCGACTCAACATCAAGCGTGTTAGTGCAGAAATCATTATCTAATTTTGCTGACTAATTCCGGCACAGCAAGTGGAAACTTAGAGCTATAGATTTTATTTCATTTTTCCTTTTTCTTTTGAAGTTTGACAATGAAGCATCTGAACATTTTGGACTGAATTTGTAACAGAAAAAAAGGGATAACTGCAAATTAGCAAAACTGTAAATGATCTAAGTTCATGTGTGCCATTATAAGCAATGCATTTCTAAAAGCTTTCTAAAAGTAGTGAACAATTTTGCATTATCACATAAAGTACTACAATAAGTTTACATAAATTCATAACCTAATGTCACCAGCATACTGCACAGTCCTCAGAAAGTCACTGTCAAAACACAGAAACTGATATAACAGTAGCAACACATGCTCACGAATGAACTTTGAAAATCAAGAAAGCTCAGATAAAACCACGTCACAAAAGACATGCAGCATGACCACAGAAACCAGAAAAAACAAAAAGTCCACCACTTTTACCACAATACCAGGCAGCCGTAGAGGACAGAGAGGGCTAAGGGGCTCATCCTGATGCTGACCCTCTCTACCCTCTCTGCACACAGCCAGGGGCTGGTGGGTACAGAAATCAAGCAGAGAGAAGCTGGGACAAGCCAGCTGTCAGGGCAGATATGCCATTATGAAGGAAAAGAAAGCGCCCTCCTGATGCTTTCCACAGCTTTGATCAGTTTACACACAGAATGAGGAACAGACACACAGAACAACAATGATGATCACATGCAGAGATAGGAAAGCAACAATAAAACTTATTTGAGTACTGTCTCTCCATGTTGTGTTTGACAAACATGAAAATATATAAACATTCAAAGGAACAGTTCACCTGAAAAAGAAAATGAACTGAAAATCTTGACATCTGCACTATCTCTCATTGGTGTGTGAGAAGTAGTGATGTCTGATTTGAGTTATTTTAATATCTAGATATTTCTAATAAATCAGTTGATACAGTTAACAAAACTGGTCTAAATGATTCATTCATAAATCCGACTGATCCAGTTCTCAAGTTCAATTCACTGACTCCGCAGTTAATAACTTGCAATGTAATGCACAAGACACCTGGACTACTTTTCTTATACTTTTATGGTGCTTTTGCATCCTTTTTTAAAATTTAAAAGCAACAGTTCTCAATAACTGTAAAAGTACACTACCGTTCAAAAGCGTTTTATTTTAATATATTTTAAAATTAAATTTATTCCTGTGATATAAAGCTGAGTTTTCAGCATCATTACTCCAGTCTTCAGTGTCACATGATCCTTCAGAAATCATTCTAATATGCTGATTTGGTTAAATATTTCTTATTATTATCAATGTTGAAAATAGACGGCCTGCTTAATATTTTTGTGGAAACTGAATTTTTATTTTTTCCAGGATTTTTCTTCAGTTTCTGAATTGTATCTTTTGTAACATATAAATGTCTTTTCTGTCACTTTTAATCAATTGAATGAGTCTTTGAATAAAAGTATTCATTTCGTAAAAATTTTACTGACTCCAAACTCTTGAATGGTAGTGTACATAAATGAGGGAAACTGTACATTATTCGGATCTCTCCTTTTATGTTCCAAGAAAAAAATTAATACAAATTAGCAAAGAGTATTATTAGTATTCATTTGAAATCATTAAACGGTGACAACTTTCATTTTTAGGTGAACTATAAATTACCTTAAGGTTCAAAATAAATCACAAAGACCCAGGATTATGTGATTATAAACTGTAAAAATATTTGTGACTAATGTCCGTACACTTTGCGTAACACTTGGCTCCTTCTGGAAACGCCTTTGAGTAGGGAGTCGGGAATCAAAAAAGAAAACCTTAATGTTCCCAACACCTTCCATTTTTATCTTCTCATCTCTACATGTCTCACCAACACATTAAAGTCCTTTAAGAGCAGGCCTGAGTGTGGCCAACCTCCAGTATCCCAGGATGCTCTCCTGCAGGCCTACCTGATGGCAGCCTGACGGCAGTGTCCGGATGCAGCTCCTGCTCTCCCTTCAGTACCGCTACTGCTTCGGCCGTAACCTCCTGCACGATCCGTGCTGATACTTGCTCTGTGCAACACATACACATACATCAACACACGCCCACATGAGCATGTGTATGGGCAAATATTCACACATACATTCTGAATCAATCCAGAGAAGTTTTCTTCTCTTCTTTCATTATAATAAACCAATCAAATAATCCATGCAGTCCTCACAAAAGGCTGCAAAGAACTCTGAGCCAATGAGAATGAGACTGTATTACACTGTCAGCACACTATAAGACAGCTGTGCACACATATGGTGGCCCACACACTGTCACACACACACAATTAAGGTCTTTTTTGGTGTTAATAATAAATATCAAATAGTTTGAAACAATATTAATAGGTCAATCTCAGAGGCTTCCATAAACAAACACGGAGCACAAGCAACTCTCAAAGTATCATGTCTACCCTTACACTACCATTTAAAAGTTTAGGGTCGGTTACATTTTTTTAATGTTTTTGAAAGTCTCTTATGCTCACCAAGGCTGCATTTATTTGATCACAAATACAGTAAAATAGTATTATATAACATAGTATATAATACTGTGAAATATTATTACACTTAAAATAGATGTTTTCTATTTTAATATATTTTCAAATTTAATTAATTCCTGTGATGAAATGCTGAATTTTCAGCAGCCATTACTCCAGTCTTCAGTGTCACATAATCCTTCAGAAAACATTCTACTATGCTGATTTTGCACTCAACCTTTCTTATGATCAATGTTGAAACAGTTGTGCTGCTTAACATTTGTGTGAAGCTGTAATGCATTTTTTTCAGGTTTGTTAAATTATTTATAGAAAGTTGAAAAACAGCATTTATTTGAAATAGAAATCGTCTCAGGTTACGCATGTAATCATGGAACAAGATGCTGCGTCCTCTTGTGGACACATTGGGGAATGCCGCCGGCAGGACAGGTGTCTGAAGCATGTGTGAAAAAACTGACCACCTGGTGAGGATCTCCAAGGAAGTGACAGACATCCACCTAACCTTTCCTCAGAAAAGGGCCAAGCCACTGACGGCCCGGGCCACTCACATAATTTGGCAGAAATGGGGAAGCCAGCCTCAGATGAAGGGGGGGAGGGCAACCACCACCAAGTTAGGAACACAGCTATCCTCAGACAGCTATGTGAGTAACACTAGCCCGAATAGATAAGACCTCTAAATGGGAGCTCACAGAGATACTACTTAAAGGCCCAGGTAGGGGAGTAGCCGCTGAGCTAGGAAACAGCTATCCTCAAATAGCTATTTTCAAAGGATCGTAGACCAAACGTGTAGGTATAAGCTACAGGGCTAGCCTCAGATAGCAATCTAGTAAAACCAGATGACTCTAGGGAAAGAGTGTCTGGATCCTGAGTCGCACTCAAGCTCATGGGCAGAGTCTATGAAAGATCCATACCTTTCTCAAACTGCTCCAAAAGCTCGACCTGCGAGTTTTGAGCCCTCGAGAAAAAGGCTCCTTACCAAGGCACATAACACACAAGTAGTGCGTGTCCTCAGGTGTCAAGAACCTGGGACACGGAGGCACACACTTCTTGAAATGCTTATGTCCTGATTTTTCTGCCATAGTCACACTGCTAACAAACAAACGGCTCCTGAAGACAACAAAAGTCGGTGATGTATTCAGCAGGCACCATTTTATACTGCCAGGCGGCCGCCCATGACGTCATTAGCTACGTGGACCAATTGGATTTGAGGTTTTTCACACTTTAGACACCGGTACTGCCGGAGGCATTCCAATGTGTCCACAAGAGGATGCAGCGTCTCGTTCCCTAGAAGGGGAACTTTTGTAACATTATGTCTTCATTGTCACTTTTGATCAATTTAATGCAACCTTGCTGATTAAAGCATTAATTTCTTTAAAAAAAAATGTACTAACCCCAAATATTTGAATGGTATTGTATGTGGCCAAATAAAACAAAATAATCTTTACAGAGACAAATGAGCACATTTTAATGTGGCTCTAATTATTACAATGTCTTATCACTGCTGTTTTTATGTCTAAGCAGACAGACAAATTTACAGAGACATATAATTTATCACTGAAGCTAAATATGCTGCTCAATGTGACAATCACAGCCAATGAAAAACATTTTTGATGTTTAATAATACACAGTTAAGTGAAGTGGTCCAATGATATTTCACAGTGTAGGCGGAGCTACCCAGCACAACGATACAGTACTAGAAACCAAGCGGCTGATAAAACATCCTGTCACTCATTGCTTCCGGCAATCACAGCTTATTAAGACAAGAACTCAACTTTAGAAGAAATCACTTCTTATCGCTTGTCACTTCCGTTAGAAAAGAGTGTTAGAAAATACATACGTAATATCAGCAGCTAGACAAAACGAATACATAAGTGCACATTATTAAAGATTGAGTCAGTCTACAAAACCATTCTTCTCTATAATTGCTTAAATATAATTTCACACCAAATAAAATTAACTTCCAATGTGTAATTCAGTTTTATCTATGTCCTTACAGAGGATATTAATTTAAACCTCTAACTCAGAGAAAAACACTCTCAAAAAAGAAAAGGAGAAAGCTCAAAATGGCAAGAAAATTGGCAGCACTTTGAGAGAGTAAATTGTCATGGTAACGGCAGATTGGGGAGGTATAAGAAGAGACTGCAACGGATTAAGCAGCGGGCAGAATACAGCCCACGGATTGGCTGGCAACACGCATCCAGGGATAGATTCTGCTTTAAAACAGCGCTATTAAAAGTATCCCTCGGCTCTTTAAGACACTAACACACTTTCTGCATTCTTATAACACATCACATACATTTCAGTGGCATCAATAGTCTGATTTTAACCTAAAGATGGATCTAGATGGTGTTGCAAAGGCCACCCATAGCTGAAGGTTGCCAAAGACAGTGCCTACACAGATTTGTAGGAGTATGAGTTAAATGTGTCCCATAATCTAGTAAACAGCCATGAATCTTTGTTGTATTTGCAATATTAATCATTCAACATGCAAGCACAAGGTGAAGCATTTCGTTTTAATTGAAGTTGATGCTGCAACGATCAGCTAACATGTGCTCAGACACAAGGCCGACACATTAGCACCGAGGGAGAAAAACTAGCAGCGAGGCTTACGTCAAAGCTTTCTGAAGAGATGCAAAGTGATTAAGGGCCATTTGCTACTCCCACTCTCTCTCCAGTGCAAACAGACTGCATGATGGGAGTCAGCGATGCACCGTCTTTGTTTCTTGTGCACTTTTCAGGCACAATTTCCGCCCACTTACAGCCCCGGCATCCGCCCACCCACTCACATACACACATGCACAGAAAGGGAAAAGAGTTTTGCTCAGATCCCATTAGAATAATGTTCACCCACACAGACTCGAGTTTGCAGTATGCCATCAACCCGCAGTCAGATGAGAGTCACAGTAAATAATTCACTTAAAAATTACAATTCTGTCATTATTTAGTGACACTCATGCAGTTCCAAACCCGTATGATGTTTTTTTTTCACTTAAAATATGACTTTTTGAATAAAGTCCTGGTTGCTGTTTTTTAAAGGCAAAAGCATTATTAAAGAACTAGCGGACAAGTAATTTTGACTATATTACAAGTCTTCTGACATTATACAATAGTTTTATGTGATGAACAGACTAAAATATAAGTCATTATTCACTGAATCTCTTTCATAGGGCAGTGTATCACTGAATCATTTTGTTGAACTTCATAAATGAATCATCCAACCCTCAATCTTTAATGCAGCTCTTTTCAACACAACAGAATGAGAATGAAATTTGAGAGCTGCGAGAACAGCAAAATAACAAAATTGAATTTGTTTAAATCACAAAAAACCATTGTATGACTTTAAACGACTTGGAATAGTGCATGAGTCATTTGGACTACTTTATTATTTAAAAATGGTCATTTTAATGATATTCCTTTATCTGAATTTTCATTGTAAGGAAATGAGCTACATGAAGATTCGCTAAAAATTCGCTAACACTTTGCAATAAGATTCCATTTGTTAACATTATTTAACTACATTAGTTAACACAAACTAACAATAAAAAAGCATTTATTCATCTTAGTTAATGTAGATTTCGACATTTACTAATACTGTACATTATTAAAATCAAAAGTTGTATCTGTTAATATTTTTTAATGGACCTGAGCTAACATTAACTAACAATGAACAGTAATTAACTACTGTTAACAAAGAATAATAAATACAGTAACAAATGTATTGTTCATTATTATTTAATGTTAGTTAATGCATTAACTAATGTCATCAACTTAAGTCAAGTAACCTTTATTTACATACTGCTTTATACAATACAGATTGTTTCAAAGCAGCTTCACAGTAATTAACAGGAAAATGCAACGGGACCTTACTGTAAAGTGTTACCAAAACTTCTACTTTTGTGCTTTGAAAGAAAAAAAAAATGTAGGTTTGGAACAACATCAGAGTGAATAAATGATGACAGAATTTTTCAGTGAACTATTCCTTCACTCAAGTGTTTTTCATCTACAAATACAGCCGCTAAAATCTAATAAATTGCATAATTTCCTGGAAAAAAAAGATGTTTACTATGTAATGGTGAATTCAAAATAACAAATTACATAAGCTGATCTTCGCAGCCAATTACTGAATGACTCAACAAGAGGGCAGAGAATATGAAAATGACCAGAGACCGAGTGAATTGATTCATTTATATATATATAGCTCTTTCTGGTCTAATGCTCATTCCCTGACAAAACAGATGAAACTATACGGCCTGTCGTCTTTTTCACTTTAGATTTTTTTTCAGTATATTTCTCTGCTCTCTTCCTCTTTTTTCCGCCTACTTTATCGTTACACCATATCTGTAAGTGTCACTATAGATTCACTTTCAGGGCAAATCTGACCAGTCTATCAGCGTCTTTGTGTCTGACAGATGTGCTGTTGTGTCTACCCAGCATCCCCCTCTCTCCCCCCTTGTGCCTGTCCACACCCGTCTGCAAGAGATGTGCTCGGATTGCTGATCAGATGGGTTTGCCTCCAGCACACAATAGCTCACA